TTATAACTTAATCGACTAAAACGTCTTTAGAATACTTTTTAATTTCTTAAAGCGTATTAAAGAACTTTATTTACTTTTTAAGAAGAGATTTAATTAGTTAAGCTTATTAAGACTTAATTTATTAATTAGAAATACTTATCTTATATATATAATATTCTTTAAAAACTATTTTTAAATCGTATATCTATTATAGAGTAAGATACGTCTATATTATTAGAATAGTCTCGCTCTTATAATTAAATTATATAAATTAAAGCTATTATCTAAATATAAAAATATAATTTAGAAATTCTTATAGAATATTAATAGTTATACGATTAATAATATTTATAATAAGCTATAAAATATATTAAGTATAATCGTCTATTTCGTTATAGATCTCGATATTATAATTTAAAAGCTTATTATAATTATCTATAAACTATATTAGATTTAAATTAGAAATAATATATTTATCTCGCTTTCGCTATATATCTCGAAGTTATTAATTAATAGTATTAGAATAAATCGTATAATACTAGATAAAGAGACGATCTCTAAGATACTTTAGTATATATAAAGATAATTAAATTTATACGAAGAATACCTTATAATTAAATATTCTAGTTTTCGAAAATACTTTATTAATTACCCTCATTTATAACTTTAAATTATATTCTTATTAAGTTTCTACTTAATTAACTCTTATAAGACTTTATTTATATACTCTCTCTTTTTTTAACTTAGTTCTAATTATTTAAAGTCGAGCTCTTTTCTAATTTATATAAGATCTCGAGATATAATTTAAAAGCCTTTAGACTTTAGCTATATAAGTATTTCTTTATTTAAAACTTTAATTCTATAGAATAAATATTAAATCCGACTTCGTAATTACTCGAAGTCTTTTATACGATCTTATTAATAAGAGTTCTATTCTTTTAATTAACGTTAAAGCGTATAAGTATTAATCTTTAAATCTTTATTATCTACTAATTAAATAATAATCTCTTACTATTTTTATTACTTTATATAAAGTTAATTAAGAATCTTATCTTTATACTCTTCTAATTCTTTAGATAAACGATTATTAATATTATAAAGAGATATTATATATAAGATCCTCTTAATAGAAAGTAGAATATCGTATAAAAGAGATAAATAGATAAGGTTATCGCAAAAAGAAAAATGAAAAAAGGAAAAAAAAAATTAAAGATTTTTTTTTTTTGGTTTTATCGTAGTATCAGTTGAAATATGACCCTCGCGTATTTCAGCCACCATGTTTTCCAGCTATCTAATTTTATACTATATTTAGAATCTGGCCTCGGAGAGGTTTTAGAGAATCAATCCGTCTGTTCTATATATTATATACCTGATATTTTAATAGATTATAAGCTCGGTTCTGACGCTACTATTATACCTCGCTGCTATTATATTATCTTACTATTATATCGCCTACTATTATATCTCGCTATTATTATATCTTAACGCGCTATTCTCGATTTATTCTTTAAGTTATCTATTCGCTAATTCTATAAAAGTAACTATTTTAAATAACTTATAGATATATATATCTTATTACGTAAATAGAAGCTATAGAAGTATACTTAAGAGACTTCTTTCGAGTTACTAACCGTAATAGCCTTAGCTAAGTAAAAAGAATTCTCTATAGAAGCTACTGACGTTATAATATTTATTATTAGCGACTTTATTAAGTAACGACTTATTATTAATAAATTTAACTATAACTTTCTAATACTATCTTAATTAATTATACTCTATTAATCTACGAGTAACGACGAATTTATACGACTTATTAAAGAATTCTATACTCTAAAATATATTAACTTCGAAATAATATTTAAATATCTTATCTATATTAAGCTACTCGAAGAACGAATTATCGCTATAAACGTTATTCTTACCCCTAATAAGTAGATTATTCTTTATCTCTCTATATCGCTTATCGAATATCTCTAATACTTAATTAAGATTTAGAATATTATATCGAATATAACTACTGAAAAAGTATATAATATACTTTTAAAAGAGGAGAGAAAGAGATAAAAACTAAAATTTTCGAAGAAAGAAGAGAAAGTAATATTTACGGCTGCGGCTATTGAGAGAAAGGCTAATAAGCTCCTATATAAGATATATAAGAGACTATATAAATCGATATATTAAATTAAACGTTCTAATTTAGCTCTAAAATAATATTAATAGTAGGGTGATATTAAGCGAAAGCGTATCGAGTTAGAAGAGGCTTAGGCTACGATAGTTTATTCATTCTAAGACTAGAATAGTTTATTTTTATTAAAAGGCTAAAATAGTCTATTTATTGTTAAAAAGGCTAAAATAGTCTATTTATTATTGAAGGCTGGAATGGTCTATTTATTGTTGAAAGGCTGAAATGGCCTGTTTGTTGTTAAAAGGCTGAAATAACCTCTTGTTGAAAGGCTGGAATGGCCTCTTGTTGAAAGGCTGGAATGGCCTCTTGTTGAAAGGCTGGAATGGCCTATTGTTGAAAGGCTGGAATGGCCTCTTGTTGAAAGGCTGGAATGGCCTGTTGTTGTTTTAGGCTGGAATGGTCTTCATTGTTGATGGGAGTTGTGTATAGCTTTTATTTCTTGTTGGGTGGATTGGGAGCGTGACTGTAGGGGAGTGTTGAAATATGACCCCCGCGTATTTCAGCCACCATGTTTTTTAGCCACCTAATTTTTGTATTATATTTAGGACCTGGCCCCGGAGAGGTTTTGGAGAATCAATCCGTCTGTTCTGCACATCACATACCTGAAATTCTAACAGTATCAGCCGTCGTCCGCCGTAAAAAGGAACTAGACACGCTGACACTCCCCCTGTCTAGTGATATCCAAATAGCTCTATTCCAACGCCAAAATCATGTAGGTTTTTTTTTTTTTTTTTTGGTGTTCACACTCCTCCTTGACTCCCCCAGTCCAATAACATCCGTTCAGGATCCTCCGAATCGTTTAGACCGTCCTAGGTATCCTCGTGTACTTGTTCTTTGTGGGGTCGTTCTTTGGGGTAGGTGAGTAGTTGTTTTGAAGTGATGTGGGTGTCTACCGTGTAGGGCTTGATGGGCGGCTTATTGTAGGGTATATCGAGTAATTGACTTCGTTTGGGATGTACTGGCGTCTGGTACGGGCATCGGACACAGGCATCGGGCATCTCTGGCACTGGCTTCTGGTACTGGCTTCTGACACTGGCTTCTGACACTGGTTGTAGGGTATATCGAGTGATTGACTTCGTTTGGGATGTACTGGCGTCTGGTACGGGTATCGGACATAGGTATCGGGCATTTCTGGCACTGGCTTCTGGTACTGGCTTCTGACACTGGCTTCTGATATTCTGTTGAAAAAATCCTCCCCTAACGGCCTTGTTGTAAATCTGTTGTCTTTGTGAATCCTTCCTTCTGTTCGAAATGGATCTTGCAAGTTTGTGGTTCGTCAGGCCCAATAAAGGGGACGATAGTGAGATTTGATGCGATATCAGTCTATCATCGGCATTAACCTAGGCTCATAACCTCTCAGCGTAGCACAGCAGTGGTGATGATAGAAAGCGTGTAGATTCAGTGGTGGGGCCATCAGCCATTATGTAACTGATGGAGAACAAAGCACTGCTATCTATGGCTAGCTACATGAAAGGAACAATGATGGAATATGCATGGAAGGATGTAGAAGGGACGCATGCATAGAACATAGAAGGAACTAGACACGCTGACAACATCAACATCACCACCTCATAGTACCATCGATGCAATTCGTATTCTCATTCTTTCAAACTCGCTTGCGTCGAAACGAGGGCCCGAGATCGAACGCGCCGTCTCATACAGGGTACGCACCTCTCAACACAACTGCGGTAGTAAGTGGTCCCAACGCTTTCGATACCAAATTCCAAAACCATAGCTCCGACTATCGATAGTATTCAGTCATGACTTCAAGTCTAGCGCCGCCCTCAACATCGAGCATCCCCCAGTCCAAGAACGAACGATTTTCGCTTCCTTGCCACTTGAACACCGTGTCGATATGTATTTACAGTCATCGCTGACGAGGAGTTAGTCGCTACTTCTGAGCGCGCAGCAGACTACGGCAATTGCAAAGGAATTGAAGCTATCAATTCTCCATGCGAGCACCTAAATCACGCATATCGCACGCCAAAGTTGGATCACCTTTCAGATCATGCCAAGTTCTACCTGAGTTCGTCAACCGCAAAACTCGCCGCCTTAGAGAACGAAAGAGCCTTGATGTCAACGCATGGGTCCGGTGCATGAAGTTTACCATTCACGAGACGTTCTTACTGTGCCCAGAAGTGCGGGACAGGCTAGTTAACGAGCTGCGGCAATTGCTGCTATGCCCTCGTCTGCATACGGTGAGTATTCGGATCGAATGCTTCCCATTGAAAAACGAGGAGGAGTCACATGATATCCTGCGGGCAGTTGCAGAGGTGTGCGCTCAGCTATGGGGGAAAATAGGTGGCAGGTTCAAGTTGACGGGAGGGAGAATTGGGGTAACGAGAGAGGGCAGCCGTTTTCACCTTGGGTTCCGAGTCCTGTAAATGTGCTACGGGAGCAGCGTCCTCCAACTCGATGAAGTATGTCCGAAAGCATGATACCGCAGGTAGCTCATTAGTCTTTTCTGGCCATCCTCTTAATCGAGCATGATCACGAGAAGCTACCCATTTTAATTGTACAAGTTCCCTTTCATGAAGAGATTGTATGAGACATTGAATGTTAGTGCACTCACAAAGTGAATCCGCAGGACTGATGTAAAGTGAAGAAAGTCTCACGTCGCAAAAGCCAGATCTCTACAGCATTCACTTCACAACATAACCTCACAACTCAAAGCCTTTCGATCTGAAAATCCAGCACCACCAAACGCACAGGAATGATGATCCATGAAACCATGTCTACACTATGGGTATCACTCTAGGGTAAGTTTCCCTCAGTATTAAATGCCGTACCTGCGAATGACAAAATCGCACAGTCCCCCAAACCCAACCTTACGAGCATGGAGTCAGCCGTCACCGCAGAACCCAATTGGAGCCGGCCAAGCCTCACCACCTTGCCGCGGGAAATTCGGAACCAGATCTATCGCCATCTCGTCGTCAGCTCTAAACCAATCAAAGTGTGCTATGATTACGATTCCTTATGGCTATATCTGAAAGCCGGGAGGCAAAACAGAGACGTCAGCACTGAGTTCCTTTGCCATGCGGTAGAGGGTTCCGAAATTGCAGTTGAGGTCTACGAGGAGTTCTTTCGCAATAACACCTTCGACTGCGGCAGCTGTGAGAACTTACGACGATTTTTGACCACTACCACCACCCGCTTCAACTTTCATAACAACTTGTTTCCTGATACGTCGAACCACGGGTACCTGAAGTTTGAAAAAAAACCGTGGATACGCAAGGTGCAAGTTTCAATCTTCTCCAACGTCCTCGAGCGCAAGCTTTCCGGACATCTGACACATCTTTTGGGGTGCTCCCATCTGCAACAGGTCGAAATCATAGTCTTCGGGCTTACCAGCCAAAGCTATGAGATCAATCCTGTCGATCGGACTATTGAAGCAATTGCGAGACTGTGCAAGAGCATCCGCGGTAAGATCGGGGGTGGACTCATTGTCAAGGTACAAAAAGATTGGGGCGAGGCTCCATCGGCATCGTCGATGGGTCATGCCATGATCAGCAACCCCGAATTAGAGAGTGTGAGCTGGATGTGGGAGGAGCCTAGCGAGGAGGCCAGAGGAAGATTCAGGAAGGGGCTTGGGACACATAAAGAGAAGATTCAAGTGCTTATGTCCGCAGGATGGGCAGAGAAGAAGGGGAAAGTAGGAGCTTGGGCAAAACATTGGCGCGAAGACCGCAATGAACAGCAGCAGTTGAAGAAGTCCCAACTCAGAATGCTGCAGGAGGAAACTTGAAGGCATCTCACGCGCGGCATGTCTCTTGAGCACCACAGCTAGGATTGAGCTTGCTATCAATAGCCAACGGGTCCGTAATTGATTGGCGAACTAAGGATCCGCTGCTTCTGATGGACTGTCTCCGTATGGTGGATGTCAAGGCTTCGAGACTTCGTGTCCTGACGACCCGGTTGCATATACAGGTCGGACCGAATCAATAAATGCATATTAAGTACAATCATTCAATCATGCTCTTCATGGACCAATGCGCACGTATTGGATGAATGGGCGCGAGTCCAAGTCTTCGTGCTCGTGAAGGTTGCCCGAGCTTCTCCGTACAGTATCATTTGCCACAGCCTTCCTCATTCGGGTCCACGATGCCGTGACTCCAAGTTCGACCATGCATTTTCGAAATAGTGTGGAACATTAATGCCAGTTGAAGCGTCATAGGGGAGCAGCGAGGGAGCCGCCCTGGCACGCAGCATGAAAATGCAAGCACCAATGGCAAACGCTCGCCATTTCCTCGAGAAACGCTAATTTGATTGGCGACAGGCGAATGGTTTCTATGGCTTTAATCAGGATTGCCATTGCACATTTGATATCAGACATGATGTCACTGATGGAGGTTCAAAATGAGCCATCTCTGCGCGGTCTGTCGATATTCCCTTTGTTAAGCGATTCGCAAGCTTCCAACAGCTCAATTTCTGGCTTCCAGATCCTACAAGTCATTCGATTTTTCCACAGTCATTAGACAGGTTTAGCAATGTGATTCAAAAGAATAATTTAAAACGAAAAAGGTAATAATTCGATAGGCTAACCATACAGGGTAATACTTAGCGTCGTCGATCACCTACAAATTAAATCACTGTTTTATATTATAAAACAGTGATTCAAATACATAGTTATCTAATTAGGTTTTCGTATTGTAAAGTTTAAGGGATCTTATCCCTAATTACGTTGATAGGTTTTTGAGTTAAGAGGGGTTTCTCCGGGGTGTAACCTCCGAAACCCCCTAAAGTCTACCCATCAGATAGTCAACTTGACTCCGGACAGTCCCCCTCCGACAGTCCCTCGTTCGTACTAATGCAGCCTCCCGCGCACGATCTACACATAAGCTTTCAACCCTCAGACTAGATAAAAGACCGCGTCAGTCTTATTTATCAAAGTCTCTCTTATAATTCTTTATTAATATTAATTTAATTATTAATTATAATTAGAATTATCTACTTTAATATAAATATTAATATAATAAATATTTAATTAATAAATATTTAATTAATAAATATTTAATAAATAAATATATATATTAATAAATAAGAGAAATACTTTAATATAGATTTTAAATAATAATTTTTATTATAATTTAAAAAAAATTATAATAATTAAAAAAAGATAAATAATTTAAATAATTTAAATAATTTAATTTTAATAAAATATAAAGATATAAGATTAAGTCTATAAATTAAATTTATAAAAAAATAATTAATTTTTAAATTTAGTTTCGAGATTAAATTTAACTTTTAAAGAGTAAAAAAACTTTAATTTAATATTTACTTAGAACTATAAGATCGAATTAATCTCTCGATTAATTTAAACTCGAGAGAAGATATTCGAAGTACGCTCGCTATAATAGATAATAGAAGATAAAGTATTTAAGAAACGTAGATAAGATATAGTTAATATTATAGCGAAGAGATATAAGAGAGATAAAGATAAAGATAAAGTATAAAAGAAAGAAGAGATATATATAATAAAGAAAAGAAATATAATAAAGAAGATAATATTATAATTAAATATATTATAGAAAATTTTTAATATAGAAATTATAAGAGAAAATACGTTAATCTAGATTAAGATAGCGATTATATTTTTAAAAATTATTAGAAGTATATTATTTAAGAACTTAAACGCGTTTATTTAAAAGTTTTTTAAAAATAATATAAATTAGATAATAGCGTTTATATAAAAAAAAGATTATTAAAAAGATTATTAAAAAAGAAATAGATTAGAAAAATTATAAATATTAATAAATAGTTAAAAGAGTATATTAATAAGAGAAATCTTTTTTATAAATAGTTAGAGTAAAAATAACTCGTTTAATAAATTATTTAGAAATCTAATAGAAAATCTAATAGTAATTTAATTAATATTTAATATAGTTATAATAGAAAATCTAGAAAGAATAAAATAGCTAATAATAAAGTTAAAGAGTAAAAAAAGAGAAAATTTACGTAAGAAATAATTAATAAGCGTTTATTAGCGATATTTAAAAATAAATAATATATATATATAGAGTAAATTATAGTTATAAATAAAATAAAGAGTAGAAATCTAATAATAAGAGTAATAATAGAGAAGATTAGAGAGTACTAGTCGAAAAGATATAATATATTTTATAAGATATTTTATACTAAGTAATATTATATCGTATTCGAATATAATATAAATAGAATTAAATATTATATCTTTTTTTTAATATTAATTTAAAATCTTAACGATATATATTACGAAATAATATATTTATAATATTATATTATAAAATAATATATTTTCTATATTTAAAAGTATAAGTAACTATTCTAATTATTATTCTAGTTAACGACTAATCGTATAATTATAATAGAGAGATTTAATAACTAATTTAAAAGACTAATTTAAAATTAAAAAGAATAATAACGTTATTAACTAATTATATAAAGTAGTAAGTAGTCTAAAACTTAATCGAGCTTTTAAATTAGTAATTTATAATTTAAATTATTAATTTAAAAGCTCGATTATCTAATTAGATCTTAGTATAACTATTTATTTAAATATAGTAAAAAATTATTCTATCTTAAGAGAATAGTTAGTTAGCTAGTTAGATAATATCTTACTCGCCTCGCTTTAGAAATAAATAATATAAATAATAGAAATAATAAGATCTATATATATAAGACTAAAAATATTAGAAGCTCGATCTAGGTCTACTTAGCCAGCCGCTTAATTAATACTATCTACTCTATTAGCTTAGTAATTTACTTAATTAGCCACTCAGCTAGTTACTCACTCAGCCAGCTACTTACTTAACTACTTAATCTAATATTCTATAAGAGAAGAAGTAATATAGTATAGAGAATATTGCGAAGATAATTAGTAGTAGCAGTAATATAATAGACTTACTCTCTACGATCTTATACTAGCTCGATACTTAGTAAGAGAAGAAATTACTATAGTAGATAAATGCGGAGAATATTGCGGAGATAGTCAGCAGCAGCAGTAATATAATAGATCTACTCTCTACGATTTTATAATATGTGCTAGGGCGCGAGGCTACCCAGTAGTGAAAAACTTATTAAGGATATAAGAAGACTAAGAAGACTAAGAAGACTGAGAAAACTAAGAAGACTAAGAAGACTAAGAAGATTAAGAAGACTAAGAAAACTAAGAAGACTAAGAAAACTAAGAAGATTAAGAAGATTAAGAAGATTACTACTATATAATATTTAATTCTATTAAGAGAAGATTCTCTAAACTTCTTTATTCTTTAAGAACTCTATTGAAATATAACCCCCGCGTATCTCAGCCACCTTGTTTTTAGCCTCCGCGTATCTTAGTCACTATGTTTTCCAGCCGCCTAGTTTTATACTATATTTAGAACCTGGCCTCGGAGAGGTTTTAAAGAATTAATCCGTCCGTTCTATATATTATATATCTAAAATTCTAATAGATTATAAGCTCGATTCTAACGCTACTACTATATCTCGCTACTATTATATTATTCTACTATTATATATTATTCTACTATTATATCTTATTCTACTATTATATCTTATTCTACTATTATATCTTATTCTACTATTATATCTTATTCTACTATTATATCTTATTCTACTATTATATCTCGCTATTATTATAAGCTTAATCTATAAGATATATAGACTAAGTCGCTATAATACTAGCTTTCTATAAGACTAATTTAGATATAGAGTTATAACTCTTATCGCAAAAAAACCCTCGTTATAAAGAATCCTCGTTATAAAGAACTCTCGTTATCGTAAAGAACCCTCGTTATTATAAAGAATCCTCGTTATCGTAAAGAACTCTCGTTATTAAATAATGAGATAGTAGTAAAGAGAAATATCGCGAAGAACTATAGATAATAAAGATACGTGCTAGTATAGCATATAAGTTCTATATAAAATAGCTATATTACTTCGAGATAAAGTATTACGTCTTACTCTTATTATCTAGAAAGAGTATTATACTTTAGAGATATATTATATTATCTTAGAAAGAAGTATTACGTTAAGAAGATATATTATCTAGAATAGATATTAAATATTATATTAGAAAGACGTATTATATTAGAATAATATATAATATAACTAGAATAGTCTATCGTTGTTAAAAGACTAAAATAGTCTCTTATTAAAAGACTGAAATAGCTTATAAAAGGCTGAAATAGCCTCTTATTAAAAGGCTGAAATAACCTCTTATTAAAAGGCTGAAATAGCCTCTTATTAAAAGACTAGAATAGCCTCTTATTGAAAGGCTGGAATAGCCTCTTATTAAAAGACTAAAATAATTTATAAACGACTGGAATAGCCTATTATTAAAAGGCTGAAATAACCTCTTATTAAAAGACTAAAATAGTCTATAAACGGCTGAAATAGTCTATTATTACGACTAAAAGAGCCTATTATTATTACGGCTGAAATAGCCTATTATTATTACGACTGAAATCGCCTATTATTTATTAAAGCTTATTATTATTACGACTAGAATAGCTTATTATTATTAAGACTGAAATAGTCTATTATTAAGACTAAACCTATTATTAAGACTTATTATTATTACGACTAAAACGACCTATTATTATTAAGACTAAAATAGCCTATTACTATCGAAGGCTAAAATAGTCTATTATTAAGAGTTATATATAGCTTTATTTCTTATTAGATAAACTGAGAGCGTAACTGTAGAGGAGTGTTGAAATATAACCCCCGCGTATCTCAGCCACCATGTTTTTAGCCTCCGCGCAT